TGTAAATGCTTATATCATCTGATTATTCAATTTCTCGTTTTCTGTTTTTCTCTTAGCTTAACCGAGAAAAATTCTTTGCATACCTTATGTACTCGCGAGGGATCATTTGACCCCTTATGGTAAGATAGGTATATGTAAAATGCCGGTACGTTTAGTGTTAATGGATCTCTGAACGAGAACGAATTATCTCGTAGGAAAAAAACAATTCTATAATCGAATTGATCGAACGAGGAAAATTATTATATAAAAGCATGTAATTACGCTCGGGGAAAAAAGAAAGAATTTTTAATTCATTTAATTGACAAAATAAATCATCCCTGCATTCAGAAGGAACTTTTCATCGTTTCGACTATATATAATAAAGGAAAGAGTTGCCCCATAAAAAAAAGAAAAGAGGCAATCGAGTTTTAGCAAAAAGAAAAACAAACGTTTTTATGTGTTACGTGTGAAATATAAAACATCGGGGATTTTTTTCTTGTTGGTAAAATAAAACCTCGACCGTTAACGAAAAGGCGTTATATCTCGAAGCACTCTTTCGTTGACACCTGCCTGTCCAAAGAATATGTATAATTAATTTCGCCGTAGGCAAACTATCAGGGGAGTACCCGACAGCATCATCTCATTATCCATTCGATCGAAACACGGGGCTTTTTTCTTTCTATTATTTTCCTCGTCCTATACCGATAGTGTTCTCAGTCATTTGGAATTCGTTTCTTCGAATGCTCTCGGAGTTTCAATCTTTCTTTGTTGTCTTCATAGTCATACTATGTCTCATTACTATCTGCTACGAGCAGAATGATTTTATATTTAATCAAACGCCCGTCTGCGTTTCTTTTTCAACGCGACACTTTTCTCCCTCCCTCCTCTTTTTTTCTTTTTTTCACTTTTTTGTCCAAGCGAACGTCCGTGCAAGTGAAACGGTTTTGACATTGATTTCTAGAGTAGCAACTTCGTTAACCTACATCCCAGTTTAGAAAACCAATTCATCGCGCGTCTCATCTCCTCGTCGACTTTCTTGCAACAATGGCTCCCAAACGTTACAGAATTGCAAGATTTTCTTTGAATTTCCAGCGTCGACACCGCGAAAAGTTTACGTAAATAAAGCTTACGTAATCTGATAATAAGCTCAACGAGCAGGAATGTACTAACACCCGATATCTCGCGGTTTCTAGCTATTAGAAATTTCTATAACAATTACAGTATGCCGAATAAAGTGAGGTTTGTTACATAGATATCGCCATCTTTTAACAAGCAATGATTCATAAGTTCAGTTGGAAATAGAACGCAAAACATTTGAAAGATTACGAACGATTAAAGTTCTAAATATGAAAGTCAATTGAGATTACACATGTTTAGAATTTGACGATTTACTTTGCTGCTCCAAAAAAAAAAAAAAAAAAA